TCCCCGCAAACCGGCACCGGTGCGCGCCTGGCCAGCTCGCCCGCAAACATGGCTTCCTGATTTTCGAGGATCGAAAATTCGGCGATATCGGTAACACGGTGCAGCTGCAATACGTCGCTGGGTCCGCGCGCATCATTGAGTGGGCCCACATCATCAACGTCAACATGGTCCCCGGCAAGGCCGCCGTCACGGCCCTCGCCGAGGCCGAGGCGAAGTGGCGCGAGCGCTACCAGTACGAGGTCAAGACGTCCGTCACTGTTGGCACGCCGAGGTCCGAGACGTTTGACGAGCACGAGAGATGCAATCCCACGATCAACCGACGAGCCCCGGGGGGGGGTAACGAGAGGGAGGGGCCGAAGGGGGGGCATCGTCTTCCGTCACCAACGCTGACGCAACACTACAAAGTCGGCCTCCCTTCGCGGGGGTTTCCCCCGTAGCGAGATGCCTGGGGACGACTTTCTCCTACGCGGGCATCGAGGGAGCCCCCCCTTGGGGCGGGGCCCCCTTGATCTTCGCCCAAAATGTCAAGGGGTGGGAAATTTCTTGAATCAGGAGTACACACGGGCCTCCGTCGAGGCGGCGAGGGAAAAACCGAAATTTCGCCTTGGGCTAACGTCTTCGGAAGAAAAGCCTTCAACACGGGAGGCCCGACGGACGGCTTCATCCACATTGACGGCCCGGCTGGCCAGCTGGCCTCCGGAAGGGCGGAGGAGGAAGGAACGGCGTGGTGGGCGGGCGAACGAAAAGGGCCCAGCAGGTACAACACGCCCCCAAGAAACTTCGGTCGGCCTTCTTGCGGGGACAAGATATTCGTGGATGTGCGGGGCGGGGGTATTCCTTCAAGGCGTGTTGACCCTCAGTCCTGAGGCTGTAAAAAGTATACCGCGACGAGGAGCGTGGAAGGCTTACCTTTGTCGGCGCGTCGTCTAGACTTGAGGCGGCTCGGCGGGATTCGATGGAATACCCCTGGCGTTTAATTGATCATTCGCGTTTTTCGTTTCCCCATTTTCATGTTCATTTTTATTTCCTTTTCTGGCTGCACATCAGTGAGCCCGGGTTGATGATTGCCGTTGTTCTGCTGTTTGCTGCTCAAATGTTTGGGTCCGTTTTCACTGCACTTTTGGCTCGGGGTTGGGCGGCAAACCAGTCGATATTTAGACAGTCCGAGACCGTCGGAACGGCAAAGGGAAAAAAAGGGGGGAATATCTTTTCTCAAGGCGTTGGCAGAGAGGACCAAAATCAATGAGAGGGAGAGAGGGAGACTATCATGCCTCTTCTCGGGCGCCCGTCAGCCTTGACCCACCTGCCTTGACTTCTTGACTTCTTGATTTCTCGAGATGCACATCTCAGCGGCACACCGCCATCCATGTGTCGTGCTGCTTCTCCTGGTGATCTTGCATCGTCGGAGTTCGCAACCCCTGAACGTCTGATGTTGCTTTCCCCGATGTGCCCCGCCATCGGGCTCGTTCAACCGACTGGCAGATCGGACGTTCCCCCCCTCTCTCTCCCCCCTACCTCCCCCCCCTTCCTTCTCGACCAGATCGACAAGGGGGCGCTAGGTCGACCGTAGGCATGAGCAATGCAGATCGAGTCAAGATCGGGGTCTGGCGGCCAAGGCTTCGCTGGTGTTGCAACCCTGCACCGGGTCGGTTTGCTCCGGATGGGTAGTCCGGGTAGAACCGCGCCCGAACCACCATCACCCTGCTTTTTCCCCCTCCATTTTTGCCTTCGCCCCCCTTCTGCCCCGGACGTTGCATGCGCCGGGCATCCGATGCCGACGGAGCCACACGACACCCCGTCTGAAGCGGCATGCCGGATGTAGGTTCCTGCGGGGCTATTCATCGCTCAACTTTGGCTCGTCTTCACGATGGTCTAACTTTATTCTTTTTCTTTTTCGGAGCCAGAGTCTGCTCCTGCAGGGTTACCACTATCCGTGGTCGAAGCAGGGTTGATTGGTGGATTTCTCGGCATCACGACTTTCTGTCTGCATGCATATGTCTTGACAAGTGGCGTACTCCCATGGATGCTCCTGGATCCAGCGTTCCACCCAGGTCACCTCTGAACCGGCTCTGTTGAGGGCTCGGACTGCTACTTCGTATGGACATGGCTGTGCTGGCGCGGTGCTGGCGTTTAAACTTCCTGAGGTTGCAGTCGCATCTGCAGTCAGAATGCACTCTACCCACGGTAGGCAGACAGCACGCGGCAGTCGAGTTCGAGCGGGAGCCCATCACAGATGGCGGCATCATACGCTTGTTGATGACTAGGGGACTGCCGAGTCCCGCATGACGAATCTGCTTCATTCGGTGTTGACTTGGGCGTCAACCATACCCATAGCCGGTGCGATGGGAAGACTTGGGTGGTACGGCGTCTGTCTTCATGAGGCCTTCATGTTGGCCTTTCGACCGCACCTAGATACTTAGGCGTACCTGTTACTGCGTACTTGTTTCATGGCCGAAGCCGACAACAAGCTGGAAAAGACCTCGACACGCGGAAAAGCCCAGACACTGACATAAGACACCCAGGACGAAAGGCAGCGTCAGTGGACCACCTCTCGACGTAATAGCGCAAACACTGCGATATGAACCGGCCTTCTCGCCGGCCGAGCATGACCCCACCAATCAGGTCCCTTCGTGCTCGTGGCGCAATGGCAGCGCGCGGTCTTCCGGTGGCCGAGGCTGCAGGTTCGAGTCCTGCCGGGCACGGTTTTGTCTTTTTTCTTTTTTTGGCTTGTCACGGCTGTGGTGTCTCGATGATCTTTTTGTTGCTTGCTCTATCTAGCTAGGACAGACAGGTGCTGTGTTGCGGGAGGGAAAAGTGTGCGAGTGGATCCGAGCCGGACTTTGGACGTGACTGGACGCGTGCTGCACTGCATCGACTTGTCCCGCTGTGCCGTCAGGGGACCTGGTTTAACGCCCGGGCTACAAGGAGGTATAGGTTTGGCGGCCTGACTGTAACTGTTACATTGGGGTGAAGATTTACTTTTGAAGGCAGTGGAAGTGGAGATGGATAGGGCTGGGAAATGTGCCTTGTCTGCCGGTATCTGAGGCGCCCGTCCGCTGCCCAAAATCTGTTCAAGTGGCCGGAGTTAAGGATTGCATTGCATGCAGGAGAGTGCCCCTATCTATCTATGACCGCTCTTCATGGTATTCTTTAAACTACCTACCTTGACCACCTAGGTACATAGGGACCTGGTACATAGGGACCTGCAGCGCGAGGCTGGCCAGTTCTGAGCCAGTCCCAACAGTCCGCTGCAGATTACATAATCACAGTGAGGTCCGCTCTGGCAAAGGTGGGTTGGCGGGGTGGCAATTCCAAGGGGGGAGAGGAAGGGGGGGGGGCGGAATCATGTGCCGGGTGTAAAGAACCACTTCTCCGGGTCGGACATGACGACAAGCGAATTCGATCCCGCCCGCCTTCATTCCCATGCCCGGCGCATTCTCCATCCTGCACCTCACCCTCACCTCGCCGTCTCCCACCTCGACCAGACCACCAGCAACACCATCGCTCGACCACGGCCCCGTCGATAGACCACGCTCGACATGGAGATGGAGGACCACAGGGCGTATGCCACGGCTGATGTGCCCCCCGATGTTCGAGCGCCACCCAAGAAACGCAGGCGCATCGTCATCTCGTGCACGGAGTGCCACCGGAGGAAGCAAAAGGTTCGCCCCGTTCCCCCCCCCCTCCCTTTTCTCGTTTGCCTGTGCCGACTCGACTCCTCCGGCGACCCAAGCTCACCTGACATGGCCAGTGCGATCGCGACCTGCCCTGTGCCAATTGCAAAGCACGCAAGAAGGTATCCGCCTGCCGCTACGAAACCAATGCGCCGACGCCAAAGAGCGCGGCCAAGACGTCCTATCAGCAGCAGACCGGACACAACGGCCGACGCTGCCACCTCTCCACCTCTCCAGAGCCTCGCCGGCACCGCCGCCAACTGGGGTTTTTCTCCGTCCGGAGGCTCGACCATTGGGTTCCTCAAGAAGATAGAAAGCGCCAACGGCGACACGAGCCTGTCCGCCTCCGCGCCGCCGACCGACGACGAACACTACGCCATCAAGGAGCAATACAAGTCCCTCATCAGGCAGCTCCCGGCCAAGGGCTACATCGAACGGCTGATCAAGATTTACTTCCGCGAGTTCAACCACAACTACTATCCCCTGGACGAGGACATCTTCCTCGTCCAGCTGGCGGAATGGAACAACCTGTCCTTCAACACGCTGTCGTCGTCGGGGCCGCAGGGGCTGTCGCCTGATCTGCGCGTCTTCCCCGCCCTGCTCTTCCAGGTCCTCGGCACCGCCCTGCTCATCTTGACCGACGAACCTCACGAGTTCTACGACCACCTGAAGTATGCGGGGAGCATGAGCTTCGAGGACCTGGCTTGCCCGACCTACAAGCGGAGTCTTGGCATGAGCATCCTCAGTTCTGCTGGGCAAGCGGCACCCTGACGCTGTCGGCCGTGCAACCACCTTTTGCGGCCAACTTTCTGAAGCACGTGGGCAAAGGTGACAGAATCCGTAAGTCTTCTTTTCTCTCTCTCCCTCTCTCTCTCTCTCTCTCTCTTCTGGCGTCTCGGGAGCAGCAGCTGACCATGCTGCAAGTGGCACGCGATTGGGAGCGCGATCAAGGATGCGCAGGAGATTGGCATGCACAAGGACGCACTGGATCCCCAGCCAGCCAGCGACTCGACAGAGGACATTCTCGAGAACCAGTGGCTCATCCAACGAAGGCGACGGGTGTACATGGTGCTCATGATGTGGTAAGTGGCGCGCGGACTGGTTTCGACCCTCATGCGCAGCGGCGTACTGACCGCACTTAGGGACGTCCATTGTGGGGTCGTATTGGGCCGACCAGGCACCATACACTGGAAATCGGCGTCGGCAAAGCCCAGCATGCCGATAGACGCGCCCATACCGAAGGACCGAAGAAAGACACCGGTCGTCTTGCGAGATGAGGAGCGCGACCCCCCGACGCCCATCACGAAGCAGCTGCAATCTTTCAAGCTGCTGAGTCCCCTGACAGAAGTCATCGAGCTGGAGCAGGATGGACCCTGTCCCAAGAACTACGACAAGGTAGACCGCATCCACCACCTCATTTTGAGGCTCGCTGAAGAGACGCCTGCCTATCTGCGACTCATCAACCCGGACAGGCGCTGGGACAACCATCCCGACTGCTCCTGGTGGCTCCAATCCTGCAGATTTTGGATCCATCCACTTCAGCATTTCAACTTTATCGCACTCCATCGACCCTATGTCTTCAACAGGCAAGAGAGCCGGGCGGTCGCACTGCGCGCCAGTATCGACACATTGCAAGCACAGATGGAGATGTTCCAGAACATGGACTCCAAGGCGTGGAGGAAGTAGGTTGCCCCCCCCGCCCTTTCGCCCCAGTGCGCCATGCAGATCATGACAGCTGACAACAACAACATCGACAGCTTCCTGCTTTTCTTCGGCAGCTTCGACGCCGTGGTGCTCATGGCTTCCATCTACATTCTCTTCCCCAAGGAGAACGTCGAGCTCGCGAGCACGGCCATGCAGCAGTTTCACTGGACGCAGGAGCGGTTCGAGGCCATTGCGGACCGCAACCGGCTGGCCAACTCGGCGCGCGGCGTGCTGCAGGCCATTTACAAAAAGTTCCGCAAGGTCATCGAGAGCCAGCTGCCGCCCGCGCAGCAGCACGTCGAGCCTCTCGCGGACGCCCGGTCGACGGCCGACAGCCTGGCCTCGGCGCGCGAATCGGTCTCGACGGGCCCTCACCAACTTTGACACGTCCCCGCCCATGGACGTGCACGACATGGACGACAAGCACATGGTCATGCCGCCGGCCAGCGCGCCCGCCGCCGCCGACGCGGGCTACCCGCCGCCGCCGCCCCAGGTGCCGACGGACTGGTCCATGCCGGCCAACTTTGACTTTGCCAACATGGCGCCGCTGTTCCCGATGAACGACATCATCACCCACGACCTCAACATTGTCGGGGGCGGCATGGCCTGGAGCCCGCCCTCGGTGCCGGCGCAGCAGATGGTGCCGGGCGTGTTCGAGGGCGACTTCGGCGGCGACAGCTTCTGGAGCCTGATGAACCAGTACGAGCCCGCGCCGATGTGACGACGCGACCCAAGGGAGGCGGAGACAGGGGAGCGGGGAGAACGGGAAGGGCGACTTGAATTGACGGGCGTTTTTGCAGATCTTTCCAAAGGGGGGGAGGGAGCAAAGGCATGGGAGCACACTCACGAGGCGGGGATCACGGGGAGGAATGTTTTGAGAGCATATACAGGGACGTACATATGGCACAGGGAGCGGGTGTCAGCTCGCTAGACGATTGACTTGACGATGGGCGCGAAAAACAAAAACTCAGGAGGGCAAAAGAAACAAGGGGGCACGAACCGCCCCCCCCCCCCTCTCCCCGCAAAGGCAATGATAAAAATGGGCTGCAATACAAGGGAGTGAGTTAGTCTGGTCTATGGCACCAAAAATACACAGAAAGATGTGCACGCGCGCCTGTCTTCATTCCGGAGGAGTACTATGTGTAATGCGATCTTCAGCGTCCTCCCTCGTCTCCTGTCTATTTCGCCCCATTCTTCGCGTGTCTTTGATGGTGATCTGCCGGTGTTTCTCCCTGACCGAAGCAAGCACCGTGCAGAATTCCAGTACATGCGCTCTGCGTTGTGGCTTCAGCACACGACATTCATGGTGCCAGGCAGCAGGTCGAAATCAACAGCAGGCCAAAAAGCAGCAGGCCAGAGAAAGAGCAAAAAAGGGAACCTGTCCGCGATGAGGATCGAACTCATGATCTTCGGATATCTAGATCTGATGATCCAGTCATATTGATGAATATGAGACCGACGCTCTGACCAGCTAAGCCACGCAGACTGTACAGTTTGTCTGATGACGGCGGGCCGCGCGCAGCCACTTCATGTAGACACGGCGCGTGGCTCAGCACGTAATTGTGCTGTGTGGGAGAAAAGCAGAACCCACAGGGAGAGGGAGCTGCGTCATCTCCAGCGCTAAAGCCAAGGCGGATGGGTCGGGATGGGAGGTGTGATTTCGCTGGCGTGGTGGAGACAGATAGTGGACACCCCCCAAGCTCCCAAGCGCGGCCGGCAGGGGGGGGCCTGGGGATGAAAACTGGTGCGTGCTCGCAGCGACCTTCTTGTCGTGTCATGCACTCGTCTCGCAATCGCTGTCCATGGTTCGTGCTTGGGTTCCTCGGATTCAGAGTGGAGGTGCTCAGGCGGAGGAATGTCCTGTGGCATTATGTACGGGCGGCCCCCCCCCCCTAAGACTTTGATGATGATAAGCATTGGGACAAGCACGCTGATCACCGTCTCTCTCCCGGTGGTATGTACATGTATGCCAGGCCTGAAAAAGCTTCACCCGCAGACGCTATTTCCACCGGGCCTGGTGATTATCATCTTTTCTTCAACGGCGACAGCGACGGGCTGCCGTTGAAATTGGCCCCCTGCACGCTGCTCTGCACGGCAGCCACCGTGTGGTACCGTAGCACCGCGTTGTCCAACACCCTTACCACCGTGATCTTAAGACAACCTACTCCTTAGCGAGAGCCCGAATCTGGTTCGAACGGCCTGGGTCATTAGCTTGATCGGGACCTCTTCAGCCACATTCCATGGCCCACGGCGCGCTGTGCCTTGGGTGTACATGACCTTTTTTCCCCACGTCGTCGGCCCTGGACTGCGACATGCAAGTATGGCTTCACTCCGTTGCCCTCATGCGCCCTGTTCTTCGTGGATGGATGGTATCAACGACGACACATGGCATTCTGTAGGGTGCAAAGCCATGGTACGTCGCGGTCCTTTCGACTGGCGAGGCCTCCTTCATTGAGCCTTGAGGACAGATGCTGCACGCGGGAGGGCCTCTCCACCAAATTTTGATTCACAGTGTCCATCTTTTCACCCCCTTTCCAAATGCCAAGCAGAGGTGCAGAGTTCGTTGATTGGCGTCGAGGCTTTTCCTCCTCCTCCTATGTGCGGCAGGGGGGGCTGGATTGGAAGGCCAAGGAGAGCTTGGGATTGCCAACTTTGGGATCCAGGAGGGTTTGCCCACTAAAAAAAAAATGATGGTCACCCCCAACGGGCTCGCTATCGCTGTTAGGGGGGAGGAGACACCGAGTATTGAGCGAACGTGCCACTGAGAGCAACCCCTGTTCCCTTGGTCTTGCCTGCCACCCCTGTCTCTTGGCTCGTCCTCATGCCTGCCATGCTCGTCTCGTCCCGCCCACTCTTGCCCTACTCCCCCCCCCCTAAACCAAACTAGCCCGGCCGAGACGGTCCCGCCCCCGACTCGCGGCTCCCACCTCCCATCTGTGATGATGGCGTGGTTCCTGACAGGTCCAGGCTCAATAACTCTCCTACCTACTTTCTGATCATCGACCATATGGGGGGGAGCGGGGACCTGTCGACTACAACATCGGGGAGCAGCAAATTACATGCCGACCTGTTCTCCCATCGTCTTACGTGTACCAGCCGTGGCATCCCCTGGGCCTGGCCTCCTCGTGCGCCTGCCCAGAAACTTATCTTGCCTATCGCGCCGAGACAATCGTCGCGCACCCGCAGGCCGTTGTTGGTCTTGTTGCACCAAGCACCAAGCACCACGCACCGAGCACCACGCACCGAGCACCCAAGGACCAGGCACCACACCACACGGCCTTCCATTTTCACGCTGCTCGCTGCTGCCACTATTGTTGCCCAGGAATCCACACGTTCTCCTCCTCCGCCCTCGCAGT